CTCCCAGAATTCCCCGGCCAGCCATGCTGGCTGGGGAATTCTGGGAGTTGAAGTCCACACATCTTCAAGTGGTCAAGTTTGAGAAACTCTGTTGTAGAGTTTCTTACTAGGAATGCAGTGGGAAGAATCAAAGAAGGATGCAAAGGTGTCTTGTTGGGAATAATATGAACATTTTAAAAAACAATAAGCATGTATTTGTAAAAACTAGAGTAAATGTAATTGAAGTTATGAGCAGCAGGGGTTGTAAATAGCATCAGTCATTTCAGAGAGAAAGGTCAAATGTAGGAGCAAAGAGCAAATGTAGGTCCCCGTTCCAAAGCACATGCCCTTTACAATAGTTGAATACAGCTGTTTTTGCAGATGGATTGTGGATTTTCTTCCACAAGTGACTACCATGATTTCATCATGAATTCAGGGCCACTCTCCTTTCAGGTCAATCTGATAAAATTGAGAAGGAACTCTCCTGCAAACCACAAGGTCATGAGAAGCTTTGAAGAGATGCTTCATTCTGGCCAAGCTTCAAAAACATTGGGCAACTCAACACACCACCTTCACCACCTCTAAAAAGCAGTGTTTTGCTCTACCAGGCTTCCCTCTGGATTGTTCCCTTTGGATTGTTCTCCAATGCTGGCTGGGGAATTCTGGGAGTTAAGTCCACCCATCTTAAAGTTCCCAAGGTTGAGAACACTGTTCTAGATGCACCAGAACAGCTCTTTTGGGAGATGCAAATAGTCTCAGTAAGATGGATATAGAGAGCCAGTTTGGTGTAGTGGTTAAGGCATCTGCCTAGGAACCAGGAGACCATGAGTTCTAGTCCCACCTAGGCACCAAGCCAGTTGGATGACATTGGGCCAGTCACTCTCTCTCAGCCCTAGGAAGGAGGCAATGGCAAACCACTTCCAAAAAACCTTGCCAAGAAAACTGCAGGGACTTGTCCAGGCCGTCTCCAAGAATCGGACATGACTGAACAGAGAGAGAGAAAAAAAGAATGCCCTCACCTTGGTGCCCCTTTGAGGCAAACGATGGACACCTCAAACTGACCATTATAGGAGGAGAACCGTGTTAATCTACAGTAGCAAAAAGGCAGGAGTCTGGTAGCATCTTTTCCACAGCTCATGAAAGCTTCTGCCTTTTCATAAGATTTGTTCGTCGGAAAAAGTGTTACCAGACTTCTATTTTTTTTCTCACATAGAGTAGTAATTGAGGACTCTAATGATAATGCCATAAACTCACAAAGACTGGATCACCCAGTTCACTTGGATCCTTAACTTGGATCCTGATTTTTTCTCATTTCTGGGCTCATGTAATCCCCGGAGCATAAAATAACATAATAAATTGGGCTTATTCAACATGTGACACACATACACACACAGAGTAACACACTAACCATTGTTCTGTGCTTGCAGCCACTATAGCTTTAGCCCTTGTGGTTGCAGAAACCCACTATAATTTTGGCTATGCAATAAGAATTCGGCCCAAATTCTGTCCCAGGACAACAGGTAGGACTTTAGTTCTCTTGCAAACTTACAAAGTCAGGTTTCGCAGGACCTGGGGGGAGGCATTGCCCCTGCAGGCCAGACCTGTCCAGGTAGGTCAGCTGTTCTGAACAAGAACCTGGCCTCTTCCAGGCACCTGTTTTGAGTGGCAGGCGGGGCATCGCTGTGTGTGTCGGTATCAGGTAACACCCCCGATCACTTTTCCAAGAACCTCCCGGGGTGAGCCTTTCAGCCAGGAAACAAGAAGGTAATTCACTGCAGCCGGTGAAGCAGCCTTGTCCTGCGCTGCGTCCCCTGACCCGTGTCTGCTCCCACCCTGCCCATCAAGATGGGTGCCACGCGCTGCTTTGCCAAGTTTTTCCAGAACGGGTCCTCCTTCCTCCATCTGGGTCGGAAATACCAGTCCCTGGGCAGCAAGGAGACAGGAGAGCAGGTCAGGAGTTTTGCTCTGGAGGGATGTTGGGCTGGAATCGACCGGCTTGCTTTTCCTCCCTGTCGCTTTCGTTAATCTCCTGGGAGAGAGGGAGAAGTGCGGATCTCGCAGGCGGACTTGGGGAGAAGAGTTGGTGGTGGTGCTCAGACCTGCGTGTGAGTTTCTGACTGGCTGCGACATCTGATAGCCACACAAAAGTGGTGTTGTTCAGCTGATCCACCTCCCTATTTGTTCGGTTGCTTCTAGAGTGACTCTCCCTGTTTTTCCACCATTCAAAGTCTCTTCAAAGTTATTTTTATCATCCTGTTCACATTTGCAGAGCCCTGGTTAGACCCTGGGTTCGTTCTCCGGCAGCATTCTTTCAACCACGTTGCAAGGAATGTCCTATGAACTTTCTTTCCCGGGTATAGCTGGTGGAAGAATAGGAAGGGGGGAGGACTGGAGTGGAGAGAGAATGATCAAGGATGGACATCCAACTTGAGTCGCAACTCAAAAGTTGACCTTCTGCTCTTCACCACTTCTATACTTCCTTGTCCCTCAGTTGCTGGGTTCATGTAACTCTCTAAACTCACATTCTGGTGTGGCCAAACACAGTGACTGGGTTCATACAAACATGATCCCTAAACCAAATGGTGGTTTCCCATTACACATTGAACTGTAACCCATTCAATGCCCGTTGTCCTAGTTCAATATACTGTGTGAATGCAAGACCTCTTTCACATACCGAAATAAGAATTCTTGAGAACCGAAGACCTGATTTCCTTGAAGGGGGAAATGGATATTACACTCTCCCCAAATTTCCCTCTGCCAGCTTGTTCTGTTCTTACAAGATTTATGTGCACAGCCTCTGCAAGAAAGTATGCCAATAAAACTCAGGGTAAATATTTCTGTCGTGGGAAACAAACCCTCCTGAGAATGCTTAATGTTACAGTGGACCTGATGGCTATCATGATAAAATGGATATTTTTAAGCATCATGTGCTATTTCAATAAGCCATTAAAGAGAGGAAAGTTTGGAGCTGGTTATTGATTTATTTAGATAATCAATATTAAGGAATGAAATTTGGCAGATCTTTTTTAAAGTTATCTGAGAAAACGGATCCCCTTTTCCTTCCCCTTTGGGGCCTGACCTAGCCAGCAGGAAACCTGCAATAAAATGGAATAAAACAAGAGAATAAAGAAAACAGTCTCAGTTTAATCTTGGGCAGATATGGGTTCACAATAATAATTTTTTTAAAAAGTGCTCTGCTCACCCATCCCTGCACCAAATATCTCCTAGAAACAAAGCAATATGGGGGTCAAGGTATTATTAAAAAATGGGTCCAGAAAGTAATCAAAGCTGGCCCTGGAAAATGTAATAAGCCTCTGTTTTAGAGCCAGGAGGTTAAATGCAACTCTTTAGCTGAAATGCAGG